ATAGTACCCAAACAGCCATTTATTGCATACATACCATCTTGGTCTAGATTAAAGATCTTTTATAGACCTGTTACTTATTCAACTTTATTTTTATCTTGATTAGTTAACAAATTGTTTTTATAATTTTCACATTATTGAAGTAGCCTCAGTAGGATTTTTTATTTTCATATTACATCTGAGATAGAATTAAATTTTTAAAAAATGTGTTGAAGAATTCAATAAGCACTTTAAGAATGTGTCTGCAAAAATGTGATATATATCACACACAACATTAAAAATGAGTATTTTATTTCAACATCTTAAAAATATATCAAAATTACAGTTTTGAAATTTGTTTTCTTATAATATTTGCTATTTATACAAAATAGAGATTACAACTTTTTCAAAATTTACAGTGGAAAGTTGTCTTAACAATCTCTATTTATAAAAGTTTAAAATGAACAAATTTACAGATTTCATTCAATATTTATAATAAAATTTGCTTACAGTAATTTCCATTAATGTTCTTGAATTAGATTTTAAGTGTATTGAACATAGATCAAATTCATTGTTTGAAACAATTAAGAAATATTGCAATTAAAAAATATTACTTGTCTGACAATTTTAAATAAACTAAAACTGTAAATTACATTGTCATAATAAGGTGATACTAGAATACTTCCTAATTATTTTGATTGCTTATGTTTATTTAAAACTTTCCTATTTAAAACATTCCAAAAGCCAAATTTCTAATTTGGAAACAAAGTAGGACTTTATTCTACTTAGATATTTATAATTTGTTCAAAAATCTGAAACCATTAAAGACTTATGATAAATTACATGAATTGAAAAATATGAATTTTGATTCTTAACATTTTATAGTAATTAGGAACTTTCATAAATTTGAACTTGACTCAATAGTAATTTTACAAGAATGTTTATCAAGAAAAATTATTTCAATTTTAATGGAATCTTGAACACAACTTAGGACAGAAATGTGTATTTATCCAAAAGTGTATCCAAATTTCTGAGCATTTGAAAACTATTTTAAATAATTTGAACATTTATAATTTTTAGTAATATTTCAGGATATTTTAAAAACTTCACATTTTAAANGAAAAAATTTTTGAATCCAAGACTCATTTATATGATCTTTACATTGATAACCATAATTTAAGAGTTTCAAATCCAACCTTAAAACAGTTATTGAATTCAAATAATAGTGATAAAATTAAATACAATGAATTATGCAAAATAAGGTAATAAATTAACAAAATAATTTAGTTTTTGTTTTATATATTTTAAAAATTGTGTTATATATCTGAGAAATTGTTTTAGAACTCTATATAAGGCATCTGTAAATGAAAATTGTGAAAATAATGGTCAAGAAGTATGGTTTACTGGGTAAGTTTTAAATTGTGAATTAAATTAGACTATTTTAGGATGAAATATTATTAATAATTATTTGATTCTTTGTTATTTATTTATTGATTATTAATATATAATTGTGAAATATATAATAAACTTTTATACACTGTAATTAATTGTTACCAATTTTAGAGATGATATATTGTAAAAATTAAAACAAAAAATTTCAATATTTTTTATTATTATTTGAATGAAAAAATTTGTATTTATCTGTGTTTTAGTGTGAAATTAGTGTTTTCCAGTTAGATATTCTTTATCTCACAAGTCAGTCAGACTCAAACAGTGGTCTAAACCTCAATAATTGAGCTGAGTGATGAAGCTTATTTCTTTACACTCAAATATTGTTATATTTAAGTAAACTCCTTCAAAACCACTCAATCAATCCCAATCAAGTTTGGTATGGATATCAAGTCCAGGTCAGTGAATGTTATAAGCTATTTGGAATCCTGATCAGATCTTGTCCTCAAGGAATATCATGAAAAAATGCTGCCTTAGATTTAAGTTAGGATTTTTGGTGCTTACAAAGCACATGCAGCAGTTCAATTCTAAACAAAAACAAACATGTCACTCAGTTTTTGCTTGACATTCCTCAAGTTTTAAACAATTTAGCATGACAGTTGAGTATAAATTCCAATTACAACAACTCTATTTATATGTTTGTCAACATTGCTGGCATTTGAAACACTGAATAAGCTCAAAAGTGATTATATATGAACTGAATTAAGTCATTCTGAAGCAAATTTTGAAAGGAATTGAGTATCCACAATCAGCCACTAAATTGGATATCTTTGCTTCTATTTTGAAACACACTAAATAAACTCTAAATTCAAGCATAAATGTTGCTCAACTCAATTTGAAAACAATGAATGTAATCCTAATTAATGATATGATGTGTCTTGTCTGAAAGGTTATGTTGTGGAATCAGGGTGGAAAGTGACAATATTCTGTTACAATTAGCTGACAAAAAGACATTTTTTTCTATAAGTTGTCAGTACCTAAAAAAAAAAGTTTAATTGATATATATGCAGAAAAGGTTTCTTTATGTTGGAAAAAGAGCTCTCATCAGATCCCACATGAATAATTACACTACCAATATTACTACATTCAACTTTTACCAGTGGGAAAGAGATTATTGGGACACTTAAGCAAGGTTTCATTGCTTCAACAGCAAATGACGACTGTTTCTCTGGATGAGAGTCAGAGGCACAAAAACAGTTCAATCATGGCATGTGTGCATTGTGTGCATAGATTAGTGGAAAGATTTTCTGAGAGTTTAGGTGGAACCAATAATCTGGAGGATAATAGGATAATAACAAAAAGAAAGAGAATTGATGTGACTTTAGTCTGATAAACATCTTTGTATAAAAACATTTCTGGTTGATCTCAATTATTTTTCAAATTCTGTTGTTACAAGTATTTAGGCAATAGAAAGGGGCCAAGCTTTTTCATTTGTTTGTCAAAGTCAGTTTTTAATTTTTAATATTTATTCACTGTATAAAGGGGAAGAATGATGACAGTGTTGTTATTTCCTAAGACAATCATGATAATGACAGGTTTCTGTTAGCAAGAAATTAAACTTAAACGAAAAAAAATTGTTTTCAATTGAGGAAAAATACAATATATTTATGATATTCTAGTTGACATCACACTGACTTTGGTAGCTAAAACAGAAATTTTTCTTCAGTTTATGTCAATAGTCTAACATTTTATTCAAGAGAAAAACTATATAAATTATAAATTTACATATTCTTTTTTTGCAAAAAATGTTAAACCTTTAACTGTTGACACAAAGGAAAAAAATTTTGTTTTAGCTACCAGTCTCAAAGTTAGTATGATGTTAACTGGAATATCAAAATTCTTAACACAGTTGATCATAAACACTATTTAATGACTACAATATCTCTTATGAATTCTATGCATGAAGACAATTTATTTGAGAATATTATGTAGCTACTAGATTTGATTGAAAGTAGTTGAAGAGAAAATATTAAGATGAGACAGAAAAGACCTCAAATCAAGTAAGATAATTTATGTTAGTTAAATAAATAATTGTGATTTATTATGAAAAAATTTCAAAACAGGTTAGATAAATTAATTAATTTATTACATTGTTAAAATATTTAATATACTCTCATTGGCAAAAGTTATGCACCAAAAAGGAGGCATTGGAATCAAATGAAAATTTATTATTATGAGCATAATGATATTGGTAGTAAGTGATTATATTATAGCAAAAGGATAATTTCCTATGTAACAATGGTACAATTTAAAAGAACTTTTAGTACCTTGTAGAATCTCCTTATGCCTAATTACATGTGGCAATACACTCAAGCATGGAGATATTATAAACACTGTATGCTATCCTGTGACAGACTTGCCCATAGGTGTTACAACTGGCACTCTATATCCCAAAGCTGGTATCCCATCTGATTCTAGGACCAACAAATTTAAATACCAGGCAGGCCAAGGAAGTATGGCAACATGGTGGAGACATTCCTGGGAAATCTTAGCTGTATGTATTCAAGCATTATATTCCTGCAAAATAGCTATTGAGAGGACAGGATTTCCTGAATGTATTGCTGTGCTGTCAATGCCTTTTACACCAATATTATAGGTGACAGACTGCCATATGAGATAGTCCCAAAACCAACATGCCAGCAGTAGGAGCAATGTGCCACTCAACAGGAAAAGTGGGATCGAAGCACAAATGATCCTCCAAATTCTGATATAATGGTCAACTGTCCCCAAACAGAACCCAGATTTAAATTTTTAAGCTAGTCTCTGATGTAGCTGATGATATCTCTGATAAGATAATTCTTCATATAAAATTACATAAAGATTTCTTGAAATCAAAAATATCTTTACTATATTTTTATTGTACAACCTAGTACAGATTTTAAATTTAATTTTTATTTAAATTTATATTAATATGATTTATTTATTTCATTTTTCAGATATTTCCTCTCATTGAATAATTTATTATTTGATACATTAATGGAAGTATCAAAAACTTCAACAAAACTTTGGACAAGAAATCACATGAAACTTGTTGGTTTGCATCCTGTATATGATTATGAATTTTTGTCAGAATTAATCAAGATTTATGGAATTGATATTCATTTATGTATAGAAAATCCTTTTTGTCCCTCATTATCATGTTGTCATTGAAATTAATGCATTTAAAAAAATACATATATTTTTTATCTAAAACAGTTATAAAAGAATTGTTATTCTATTAAATAATAAGAAAAAATTTTATTATACAAACATATTCAAACAACAACTATCCCTCATGTACTGAGTGAATTGTAATAATGACAGTATTATATTATTTATGCAATATACAGTAGACGCTCAGTTAGCTGACATCCATGAGGATTGGTAGATGCCAGATAAATGTAGTTTCTGGTCACTCGACAGTTGTTATTAAAAATAGGCCTAATAAATACTATATCCCATACTAAACCAGACCATGCCATAAATTTTGTATTGACTTGATATTAATATTGAAATACAGTAATTAAAAGCAAATTTGGGTTGAGTAAGAAGAAAAAATTTGAACAATAGATCACAACAGTCAGTTGTGATCTATTGTTCAAATTTTTTCTTCTTACTCAACCCAAATTTGCTTTTAATTACTGTATTTCAATATTAATATCAAGTCAATACAAAATTTATGGCATGGTCTGGTTTAGTATGGGATATAGTATTTATTAGGCCTATTTTTAATAACAACTGTCGAGTGACCAGAAACTACATTTATCTGGCATCTACCAATCCTCATGGATGTCAGCTAACTGAGCGTCTACTGTATATTGCATAAATAATATAATACTGTCATTATTACAATTCACTCAGTACATGAGGGATAGTTGTTGTTTGAATATGTTTGTATAATAAAATTTTTTCTTATTATTTAATAGAATAACAATTCTTTTATAACTGTTTTAGATAAAAAATATATGTATTTTTTTAAATGCATTAATTTCAATGACAACATGATAATGAGGGACAAAAAGGATTTTCTATACATAAATGAATATCAATTCCATAAATCTTGATTAATTCTGACAAAAATTCATAATCATATACAGGATGCAAACCAACAAGTTTCATGTGATTTCTTGTCCAAAGTTTTGTTGAAGTTTTTGATACTTCCATTAATGTATCAAATAATAAATTATTCAATGAGAGGAAATATCTGAAAAATGAAATAAATAAATCATATTAATATAAATTTAAATAAAAATTAAATTTAAAATCTGTACTAGGTTGTACAATAAAAATATAGTAAAGATATTTTTGATTTCAAGAAATCTTTATGTAATTTTATATGAAGAATTATCTTATCAGAGATATCATCAGCTACATCAGAGACTAGCTTAAAAATTTAAATCTGGGTTCTGTTTGGGGACAGTTGACCATTATATCAGAATTTGGAGGATCATTTGTGCTTCGATCCCACTTTTCCTGTTGAGTGGCACATTGCTCCTACTGCTGGCATGTTGGTTTTGGGACTATCTCATATGGCAGTCTGTCACCTATAATATTGGTGTAAAAGGCATTGACAGCACAGCAATACATTCAGGAAATCCTGTCCTCTCAATAGCTATTTTGCAGGAATATAATGCTTGAATACATACAGCTAAGATTTCCCAGGAATGTCTCCACCATGTTGCCATACTTCCTTGGCCTGCCTGGTATTTAAATTTGTTGGTCCTAGAATCAGATGGGATACCAGCTTTGGGATATAGAGTGCCAGTTGTAACACCTATGGGCAAGTCTGTCACAGGATAGCATACAGTGTTTATAATATCTCCATGCTTGAGTGTATTGCCACATGTAATTAGGCATAAGGAGATTCTACAAGGTACTAAAAGTTCTTTTAAATTGTACCATTGTTACATAGGAAATTATCCTTTTGCTATAATATAATCACTTACTACCAATATCATTATGCTCATAATAATAAATTTTCATTTGATTCCAATGCCTCCTTTTTGGTGCATAACTTTTGCCAATGAGAGTATATTAAATATTTTAACAATGTAATAAATTAATTAATTTATCTAACCTGTTTTGAAATTTTTTCATAATAAATCACAATTATTTATTTAACTAACATAAATTATCTTACTTGATTTGAGGTCTTTTCTGTCTCATCTTAATATTTTCTCTTCAACTACTTTCAATCAAATCTAGTAGCTACATAATATTCTCAAATAAATTGTCTTCATGCATAGAATTCATAAGAGATATTGTAGTCATTAAATAGTGTTTATGATCAACTGTGTTAAGAATTTTGATATTCCAGTTAACATCATACTAACTTTGAGACTGGTAGCTAAAACAAAATTTTTTTCCTTTGTGTCAACAGTTAAAGGTTTAACATTTTTTGCAAAAAAAGAATATGTAAATTTATAATTTATATAGTTTTTCTCTTGAATAAAATGTTAGACTATTGACATAAACTGAAGAAAAATTTCTGTTTTAGCTACCAAAGTCAGTGTGATGTCAACTAGAATATCATAAATATATTGTATTTTTCCTCAATTGAAAACAATTTTTTTTCGTTTAAGTTTAATTTCTTGCTAACAGAAACCTGTCATTATCATGATTGTCTTAGGAAATAACAACACTGTCATCATTCTTCCCCTTTATACAGTGAATAAATATTAAAAATTAAAAACTGACTTTGACAAACAAATGAAAAAGCTTGGCCCCTTTCTATTGCCTAAATACTTGTAACAACAGAATTTGAAAAATAATTGAGATCAACCAGAAATGTTTTTATACAAAGATGTTTATCAGACTAAAGTCACATCAATTCTCTTTCTTTTTGTTATTATCCTATTATCCTCCAGATTATTGGTTCCACCTAAACTCTCAGAAAATCTTTCCACTAATCTATGCACACAATGCACACATGCCATGATTGAACTGTTTTTGTGCCTCTGACTCTCATCCAGAGAAACAGTCGTCATTTGCTGTTGAAGCAATGAAACCTTGCTTAAGTGTCCCAATAATCTCTTTCCCACTGGTAAAAGTTGAATGTAGTAATATTGGTAGTGTAATTATTCATGTGGGATCTGATGAGAGCTCTTTTTCCAACATAAAGAAACCTTTTCTGCATATATATCAATTAAACTTTTTTTTTTAGGTACTGACAACTTATAGAAAAAAATGTCTTTTTGTCAGCTAATTGTAACAGAATATTGTCACTTTCCACCCTGATTCCACAACATAACCTTTCAGACAAGACACATCATATCATTAATTAGGATTACATTCATTGTTTTCAAATTGAGTTGAGCAACATTTATGCTTGAATTTAGAGTTTATTTAGTGTGTTTCAAAATAGAAGCAAAGATATCCAATTTAGTGGCTGATTGTGGATACTCAATTCCTTTCAAAATTTGCTTCAGAATGACTTAATTCAGTTCATATATAATCACTTTTGAGCTTATTCAGTGTTTCAAATGCCAGCAATGTTGACAAACATATAAATAGAGTTGTTGTAATTGGAATTTATACTCAACTGTCATGCTAAATTGTTTAAAACTTGAGGAATGTCAAGCAAAAACTGAGTGACATGTTTGTTTTTGTTTAGAATTGAACTGCTGCATGTGCTTTGTAAGCACCAAAAATCCTAACTTAAATCTAAGGCAGCATTTTTTCATGATATTCCTTGAGGACAAGATCTGATCAGGATTCCAAATAGCTTATAACATTCACTGACCTGGACTTGATATCCATACCAAACTTGATTGGGATTGATTGAGTGGTTTTGAAGGAGTTTACTTAAATATAACAATATTTGAGTGTAAAGAAATAAGCTTCATCACTCAGCTCAATTATTGAGGTTTAGACCACTGTTTGAGTCTGACTGACTTGTGAGATAAAGAATATCTAACTGGAAAACACTAATTTCACACTAAAACACAGATAAATACAAATTTTTTCATTCAAATAATAATAAAAAATATTGAAATTTTTTGTTTTAATTTTTACAATATATCATCTCTAAAATTGGTAACAATTAATTACAGTGTATAAAAGTTTATTATATATTTCACAATTATATATTAATAATCAATAAATAAATAACAAAGAATCAAATAATTATTAATAATATTTCATCCTAAAATAGTCTAATTTAATTCACAATTTAAAACTTACCCAGTAAACCATACTTCTTGACCATTATTTTCACAATTTTCATTTACAGATGCCTTATATAGAGTTCTAAAACAATTTCTCAGATATATAACACAATTTTTAAAATATATAAAACAAAAACTAAATTATTTTGTTAATTTATTACCTTATTTTGCATAATTCATTGTATTTAATTTTATCACTATTATTTGAATTCAATAACTGTTTTAAGGTTGGATTTGAAACTCTTAAATTATGGTTATCAATGTAAAGATCATATAAATGAGTCTTGGATTCAAAAATTTTTTCTGTTGTACCTATAAAACAAACAAAATATTTAGTGTATATAATAATCTTTCATAGTTTGTTTAATATAAATGAGTTTTTTTAAATATATGAATACTCACAAGCAATATAAAACATTTCATCTTGTAAAGTTTCAATATCAGCAATATTAACATAAAAAAGAGGTTGCGATATCGGATTTTCTATACTATGCATAGAATGTGCAACAAGACAGTTGGTACTGTAAACTAAATAATATATTATTTTTAAAAAGTTATAACTTTATTGGTATATAGAATATAAGTTATTATAGATTAAATATATATATTATTTTGAGAAAATAGTGGTGAACAAAAACTAATATCATTAATTTATTCTTTTCCAACTTGAATTACATTACTGTAAACTAGTTTGCATAAAAATTATTAAAGAATTTTTTTAACTTTTAAATGAATATTTTCAAAATTTTATAATATAAATAATAAAATCTATAAATTTCTAATATTAAAAAATATTCTCATAGTTTTGAAAATTATGAATGAGATTTAATCACTATGAATGAAAATATTGTTGAATATATTTATAAATTATTCGTTTTTCGTTAAAATAAAATTTTAAAAATTTCTACTTATTTCAAAAAAGGTGTCAATAAAGTGATTTTGTGTTTATCAGAACACAAAAGTGATTTAATGACTTGTTAATACCTTTTAATAATATCCTTTTATTCCTTTTTTAATATGATTAAGAAACTTATTGATACCTTTTTAATTATACCGTGTTTCCCCAAAAATAAGACAGTGTATTATATTAATTTTTGCTCTCAAAGATGCGCTAGGTCTTATTTTCAGGGGATGTCTTATTTTTCCATGAAGAAGAATTCACATTTATTGTTGAACAAAAAATTCCGAAGTCTAACTTAAACGAGAGTGACGTATATCCGCTCGTGTCGAACTGAACTTACGAAATTCCCGTGCTGGAGTGGACTTTCCACTCTCGCTTCAACTTAACCTTTTCATAGCGTCGACATCGGGCTCGATGACCAATTAGTGCTTACTGAACCGTAGCACTATGCAAATGTGATGGGGCGTGATTCCCGGCCAACCAATTAACGATCACCAGCCGTAACGTTATTCAAATCTGTGATTCCCAAGCCATAGTCTTATGCAAATCATGCCGTGTGGCGTGATTGTCTGCTGACCAATCAGTGGCTGTACTTTCAAAAAGCCAAAGGCCATTTTCAACCATCTCTCGATGACCGTTACGAGTAAAAAAAATACTTTGCTAGGTCTTATTTTCAGAGAGAGGTCTTATATTTCGCAATTCAGCAAAACCTGTGCTAGGTCTTATTTTCTGAGGATGTCTTATTTTCGGGGAAACACGGTATTATTGTGATTATGTAAAATATTAATGTTTCCCAGAAACATTCACACTATGCTTATTTGTATTTAGATTTAGTAAAAATGCTGTTATGTTTGTAATTATACTTTTATCTTTGCATTTAACTTCTTTAAAAATCAAATTTATAATTTTTTTTTGTAATTTTGAAATTTATATTTGTATCTTTAATATTTGGCCTAATTAATTAAAAATTTACAAAACTATTAATCTTTTTCTGTATTTTAGTTTAGCATTTTAACATAAATATTGAATAACATAAAATATAAATGTATTTATATGAAAACAAATATGATTTCATAAGTTTTGCTTTCTAATTTATTTAACTTACTTTCCTGAATGATTTGTATTGTATAAAAAACCTTATGTATATTTTAAGTTTTTTAACTATTAAAATTTATATGTAAACTTCTTATGAACATAACATTTTATTATACAAAAGTAAAGCAAAAGCCTGGAAAAATATGTTAACAGCATATTACATAGTAAAATTTATGGTTAGAGTGCCAGGTCTGGACTTGTGTGGGCAAAAATAAAAAATTGTTACTAAAGATCAAATGTCAAAAGAATTGCTATACATAATATAAAAATTCCATTTATTAGTAAAGACCGTATATGTACAATTCAATAACGCTAGAAAATCTTTGTAAAATAAAAAAGATACTTTATCAAACCAAAAGAAATATTTACAAAACCTTCCCGACAATTTGGGAACCTAGAATTACGATAGTTCTAATTTATCTCCACATAACCGACAAGAAAGATATGAATCAATTCTATCGAAAAAAAATACAATGAATCTTACAAATATGACTATGCGTCATCAAAACTCTGTTATTGGACCTGGAAATGGAACTTGAAAACCTTTGGTCAATCACTTGATTCTTAACACCACCTCATTTGAATCTAAGCTTCACCTCGTCTGTGTCATCTCCTTTTTATCTGGCAGGTGTGGTGATGTTACAATGTATCCACTCACTTGCCCTATTTACATACTTACACAGTAACATTTTACTTGATCTAGTATTTGGTTTTTTTCTCATGTAATTTCCCTCACAATTTTATAATACTTTTTTGTGTTGTCTGATAACAATTTGGAGGTGGAGATTATTCTTTTAACTTTCTGTAGAAGTCTCCTACCCTCAAGATGTCATTTTGGGATGATGACGTCATTTTTTCTGTCTGTGGTCTTTATAAGGTGAGTTTTAACTTTTAGAATTTTTGACCAGAAGGTGTGGTAGTTGATCCTTAATGAAATAAAACATGCCAAAATAAATAGAATAATGAACTAAAAATAATTCCCAAACAAAATAGAATGGTTTGGAATTGACTCCTGAATAAAAACATTTAACTATTTTCTAGTTTTATGAACATTTTTAATATACAGGTGGTTAAATTTCTGTCCAAAATTATAGAATTGGAATAAAACCGAATGTATTACACAGTCCCAATTTATTTTTTCTCTAGGTACTCCTGCTTCACACACTGATACTCTTCCCATCATTTTGGCAATGGTGCTATGCCTAAAGAATAGANTGAAAACAAGATCATATCAAAATATAACTATATATATAGTTATATTTTGATATGATCTTGTTTTATATATATATGAACTTTATCCTTTTAGCATATTTGTAAGCAAGCACAAAAATCACAATTATCTTTAATACTGTAATTACTATTTTGCATAAAACATTTTAAGTGAATTTGCATTGTTTATTCATTGCATTATTAAAGTTTTTACAAAATTAATACAAATTCTGATATGTATGTGTATATATATATAAATATAATAATCAGCCATTTCAGTATTTTAAAGAATCTTAATTTGACTTCCTTAAAATAATTTTTAAAAATGGAATTCAATTTACAAAATTTACAATTAGTAATTTTCTGTAAAATATGATGCTTAAGATTCTTCCAATAAGTCTAATGATTTTGGAAAAATCCAAGTATGTCTCCTATTTACATAAAGATTCAACATTATATAATTAAATATTAGGTTACTTACAAATTTTAAACAATATATTACATCAATTATTAAAAATTATTAAAAAAAATAATAATAATCTCATTTTAGAACATTCAGCATGATTTTGTAAATTAAGAAAACTATTCAAAAATCAAAAAGTTTAATTGCTTGGAATTTTCAGCTAATAGATAAAGTTGCTATTAAAATTTACAAAACTAATTTAAATACAACAATCTACATTTTATACAATATTGAAGTAAATATTGATCATAAACCAAATGTATTTTCTCCACTATAAACAACATATAAAAATCCATCTTCATCTTTATGTGCATTGTATATTTCACCCATGCTGGAACTGAAAATTTTTAAAAAAGTTGATTTAAAAACAAAACAAATTTTAGATGTTTTCTTATTTTTTTAAATAATTAATTACCAAATCATCTTTGATTTAATAAATAGTAAATTAATTCTGTTTGTTTCCTTCAGTATTAATAACAACTGAAAATGAACTATATTATATTGTATAATAAATATAAATCTGATGAGTTTTATATATAACTCATCATGATATACAGTATATAAAACTCAAAATATATATGGAATATGATTTTTATGTCATATGACAAAGCTTCAAAATATATGTAGAATACAGAACAGACTTTTTTTTATATATATTCTACAATGTATTAATGTGTAATTATTCATTTTGAATATATAACAAAATTTAGAGTGCAAAATATATAATAAAAAATATAAATTTATATATCTTGTACTTTCATATATATTAAATACTACTATTAAACTTCACTTAACTAAAGAGAAAAAAATTCAGTTAATATTGGATATTTTTTTAATAATAATTCAGAGAAGAAAATATTCAAATCACTTATGTCAGTCAATCTGAAAATAATACCTCCCATATTATGTTGACCCATGACAGACAGATGTTAAGTGATATGGCAATAGAATTTGAACTTTCTCATTAATACTCTCAAAATTTAAGTTGCTGTGAATCAAATAACAGTATAACAGCAGTCTAGCAAAGTGGTACCTGACATAAATGTGAATACAAAGCAGAAGTTGGTCATCAAATTTCTCCATGAAGAAACATTTGTAGCCATTGACATTCATGAATACTTGCTGAACATTTATGAAAATTAAGCAATGGATGTGAGAAAGTGAAGCAGTGGGTAGAACTTTTTTTTTTAAACTCTCAGCCCTGAGCACTAAGAGGACAAGTAGTGGCAACGGCATTGTGAGTGACAAGCTACATTCCATATGACCCAGCACAATTGTCACCCATAAAGGCAGTTTTCATCAGGTGATCCCTCATCCACATACTCGTGGATTACAATCAGGGAAATGGAAGCTGATATTCAGCTCTGCACACAAGAATTGATGTTGAGGTGTAACAAAAATATGCCAGGTGAGTACCATGGATGCTTACCCAGGAACAAAGACTATTGAATGCAAGTGTATCAGGACCTACTGTACCAATTTGAGGTTGAAGGGGACAGTTTTCTGGACTGCACCAGTGAAAGACATGTCACCATTGAAGACACAGCTGTTAGTGATAAACCAAACTTTAAAAATCTTTTAATATACAGTCTTTTTATTAAATCTTCTAATGCTTTTAGTCAGTGATAAAGTTATATGCACTGTCAAGAAAAGAAAAATGACCCTGCTAGACTTCCTGAAATCAGACAAATGATCAACTCTGACCAAGCTAAAGACCCAAATTTTTAGAGTCAGGCCACAGAGGAAAACAACTTTTTACTTAAAACATGATAATACCAGTTTTGAAGATTACAGGAAATGTTACAAAGTTTGGCTAACTATCTTACTATACCCACCATATAGTTTGGATTTGGCACCTTTAAATTTCTATCTATTTGGATCAATAAGAAATGGACTAGAATGTCTTTGCAGCTGTGAAAAAATGGTCACCTCTACTTGTGCAGATTTTTACAAATTTGGCATACAGGTTCTTGTTCAATGCTGCAAAATACATAACCAATGGTAGTATAAACATAAACTAAAGAAAAAATAATGTTTTATAGCTAAAGACATCTTCTATCCAATGATGTTATTGTGCTCCCTGTATCTGTTTTCTTCTATTTATTTCCCTGATAACTACAATACATATGAAGCAACTCTCATTTGTGTATAATGCAAATGTCAGGCAGAATAAAAACTGCAATGCTGCATGCAAACTATTAATTTTTGGATTCATCCTTTAACTTTTTTCCAGAAATCTCTTAATATATGTTCATAATACATTTTTTAAGATGCAGATATATTATTCTATTTATCTATATAATGTTAAAATTTAAAGTTCAAATTAGCTTATCTGTTTTATTAATATTTTACTTTTTAAATATTGTAAATATTCCTAATTATATTGATTTTTATTTTTAAAAAATTTATAATTTTATTTGGGATAAATACATCAAATTTTTTGTAAATAAGTTTGTGAAAAAGTGTTCTATTTATAACAATTGAAAATATTTTTATATTAAAGTCCATGACTATCAACAAATAACAGTTAAAATTCAATAGTTAGTGTAAATATTTTTTGAAATATTCACTTTTATATTTTTCCTGGGGACTTACTCGGTTAATGAAACAATTAAGATATGTGATTAAAAAAAATTTAATCACATATCTTAATGAGATATGTGATTAAAAAAAATTTAATCACATATATAACACATACATATATATCAGGCTATAAAAGTGAAATTTTTTTCTTGAAACAACTGGAAAAAATGTTTAAGAATGTTTGATGTGAGTATATAAGTAGAGTGACCAAAGGTTGTTTTATCATAAACTTCATTGAAAATAAACACATCAGCAATGTTTGATAATAGAAAACTTTTGAAAGAACACATTTGCATGCTATTGCTCTATCACTTCAAATGGGGCCACAATGAAACGAAGGCTCACAATCTCATCTGCAAAATGTTAAAGCATTCACAAGAGAACAAAGGTCAACTAGCTGTTGTAAATGTCAACAGGCCAATAGTGAAAAAGGTGGTAATCTGTATTTGGCATCATCATGATGGACCTACTTCCAAACAATATCACTGTCACAAAAGAACTCTACTGTGAACAACTGAATTATTTGAACACCAAGATCAAAGAAGGTCATCCAAAAATTTACAAAGTCTAATACTGCCACAACATGCCAGCACAGAGACCTAAGAAGATCTGGCCAGTCTTGGCTGAGAAGTTTTGCCTCATCCATCTCACAGCCCAAACTTGGCACAACTGACTAACATCTATTTCACATGCTACAAAATAATATTGTCAATATACAGTCCAATGACAGTACCCAATGCTTGAGACTTTCTTCAAAGAAAAAAACCTTAGACATTCTATACTCATGGGATTGAAAGTTTGCAGCAAAGGTGGCAAGATGTGATTGCTATTGATGGCCTAACAAGCTCAACTATAATTGTTGTTGAGTTAATTGTCAATAAAGCTTTTTTTCAAAATGTCTAAATTTCACTTTTACAACCTGATATGTATGTACACAAGATGAAAACTATCACTGTTTATCAATATTAAGTTATCATTTATCTTAAAAAAATTGATATCTAATAAATGTAAAAGTAAAACAAATTTTTAAAAATTAAATATTTGTACAAAAACAAATTCACATAAAAAATAAACACTTAATATTGAATTTACTCATCATTTTTAAGCTAAGCTATGAAACAGTATTAACATTTCATTAATGGCAACATTAAAAAGATAAAAATTTAGTAAATAAAACTATTTTAAAAAATTATATATTAAAAAGGTAAGATAATTACTGAACCATTTCTTTATATTAAATTTTAAATTAACAAAAAATCCAAAAGAAAAAAACTTTGTTCTTTTGTCAGTCTTTCTCAGTTAATTTTTCTTTAAACTCTTGATGTTGAGTCAAATTATATTCCAAGTATTTAAATTTCAGATAATTAAATTTTTGTTTCTAAAATGATGATATGAATGCATTTATTTATGAATAATGTTTCAATAATAGATTAATTTGGAATCATAATACTAATAAATCTATTTAGTACCATGATACCTAGATTTCTTCTTTGCAAATAACTCATTTGTATACTTTAACAGATATTTACCTTGACTGAGGAAGCACTCTTCCAACAAATAAAAATATTGCTTTTTCTTGGGATAACTGAATTCGCTTCCGTATAATCCACATAAATTGAGCCATAGAAATTTCACTTGGAACAAGAAACTTTTGCTTATCTATTGTAGGAATAGAAGAATGAGGTGCTTTTTCTACAATTACCTAAAAAACAAAGGATTTTAAGCAGATTATTTATTACTATATTATATAATATTTAAATTAATTAATAAGAAAAAATTCTCTTAATCCTGAAATCGTATTTGAAATTATTACAAATGCGATTCAAATATTTTCAAAAATATTACTTTATATCATAAAATGGATTGTAATTCAATCATTTTCTGGTGATTTTATTATTAATATTTGCTGTACTCAATACAGAAAATATTTGAAATTAAAATTTTATAAACAATTGTTTTGAATTTATGCAAACACACAAAAGTAGATTTTATTCTAAAAACCTTTTATATGCAACCAACACCAAAAATTACATACCAGATTAAATAAATAAGACTTTTGGCATTAAACTTTTATGTGTTTATATGATATTTATTGTAAAATGTATTTGTCATCCTCAGTCAAAAGATTCTAAAGTCATTCAGTGTTCTACTTAAATTTTGCCTGAAGACAATGAATATGGTTTTGTCAAAAGTGCTACCTTTTGTGTTTACAATCAAAGTTTAATACCAAAAGACAATCTTATTTACTTGACTAGATTTTATTCAATGACAACCAACAAAATATTAAATAAAAAATCATATTAAACAATAACAAATCAATAAAATAAATTTAAAAATATTTTGTTTTCACAAAATCAATTTTAAATAAGATACTAATTGTTATTGTTATTACTTATCTATAATATATTAGTAATAACTAAAAAAACCAATAATTCATCTAGCATTATTGCTTTTTTAGTTAACACTATACTGAAACAAAAATCATTTTTAATAATGGATTGATTAATTTTTATTAGAAAAATTTTCTATTACTTCTTAAACTTAAAATTTTGAAATGTAAATAGTCAGTTTATCATCATCATGTATTGTACAATACTGAGGTATATTCAAATAAAATATTAAAACCTATATTTAATTTAATATATTTTTTTATAATACATACTCAGTCACATTATTTTAATCTTAAGGTGAATATAAGGTTTTTAAAGTGTAGAAATCAATATATATTTTTAGTGAAACTATATCAAATAAGTAGTTCAATTCTAATTGTTTCAGTTAGAATTCAGTCACAAGAAAGTTTAATTTTAAAATTACAATTTTAAATTTAACTTATATTGTATAAAAATTTTCTATTAGAGAATTTTTGATGAATGGTGATTAATGAATTCAAATACTTTCATTATATTCCACTATGTTCCAAAAAAAAGAAGAATATATTTTAAAAAAACAGCATCAGTATGTGTGTGTGCATATGCATGTGCACATGCAAAAATATCAATTTATTGTTTATCATACAACAATGCATAATTATATATGTAATTGTTGTAATAAATTAATAAATTAAAAATTTTTATAATATAATCAATTATCTGCAATTTATTTGGAATGTTTTGAAATACAATTTTATAAAATTATCTATAAATCATTTGCAATAAAAAAAAATTCTCATTGTAACATTTTATTTGAATATCCCTCATCATTGTAAAAAATAATACTGAACTAATGTAAACTTATTTTTTTTAAATTCAATATGGATGGTATTTTGTATAATTTATACAATCTGAATTTTCACATTATGACAACATGAAATTTCATCATGTAAGGAACAACAAAACTTCTTAACCTAATTCATTGACTTCTTATATTTCAAAATTGTATTCAAATTTAAGAGGCAATAGAAAAAAATTTATTCTAATGAAATTGATCTATTATTAAAAATGTGAATAACAAAATTCATAAATTGCATAACTATTAATTTTTTATATAGTAATGTGTAAAGAAAATATTACAATTAGTACAAATTAATTATCTTAAAAAATTTATTCCGTATGACCTAAAATTTTTGCATAAAATTTCTCTTGAATGTAGAATATAAATCATATTTATGAACAAACAATTTGTAATGATTATTAATTTGATTAATCATTACTATTAGTAAATAAATAAAATAATAATTTTAATTTTATTTAATTTTTTCAGAATTATTAAATATTTTTAACTCAAATTATTAAGTTCGTATATAACAAATGACTACTAATATTATAATGATTATATAATGATGATACTGTAATATAATATAATTACTAATATAACAAAATTTAATATTAATTTAATCATCACTAATAATAAATGAATTGGTAGTAAAAAAGATTAATAGTTTAGACCTTAATTATTAAATATATTTAATTTTATTCTTTTAAACATTTTTATTTTATTAACAAATACTTCTTATATTAATATATTGATTCAAATATCAAAACATTTAGATTAACTAAACAACATCTTATACTTACAGGAATTCTATCTGGATATCTGTTTCTTACATTTGATGATTCTTGCTTTCTTTGGTCTAAAAATAAATAAAATTATGTATGTGTTATGAATATTTATGATATCGTGATAACAAATTTGAGCCCAATTGAATGCTATTACATATCTTATCACCCAAATATTTTTAGAAAATAGCAATTCCACAAATGCTAAAATAATAAATAAATTTATTTATTATTTTAATAAATAAATTTATTAATT